GTTGTTTGTAATGAATGGCACTATAATTTATTTTATTTTATACTTGTATTTTTAATTTTTGTTTAGTTTTGAATAGCCAACAATTAATTTAAATGTTTTTTTGTGGTTGATTAAGGGGAAGTAAAATGTGCCTGAATGTTTATTTTTTGTTTTATTTACCAGTATTTTGCATTATTTCTGAAAGTAAAATGCGATTTTTACACTGATGCGACTTATCTGTCTGTCTCTGTTTGTGAGACTTCCTTAGATAGACAGAGACATCAAGAAACAGCATATGAATCTCAACAATGGTGACAATCAACAAAAAGCTTTTTTGTGACTTCAGTAGCTTGTTTTATGATGGTTTTTGTGATCAGTTTCTGTTTATCAGAATATTTTGTCGATTGACACCATTGTTGAGACTCATGCGCTGTATTTTCTGCATAATGATTTTAGAAAATCTTTCAATATATCAAAGGATTTTTTTTTTCAGTAGTAGGGCTACAATAAACAATATGAAATTAATAACTAAATGAAATTAATTAATAATGATTTTAAATGTCTGAAACCTAAAATAAACATTATGTGTTTCAAAACACTGAATAGTTGTGATATATGACAGTGCTGAGTGCGTCCGTCTCAAGCGTGAAAGCACTTTTGAATTTAGCAGTTGATCACGTGATGCACTGACCATACACACCAGTGTGATCGTACATGCGAAAGGGTTAAGGCAGGGGTGCCCAACCCTGCTCCTGCCGATCGACTGTCCTGCACAGTTTATCTCCAACCTTAATCAAACACACCTGAAGCAACCAATTAAGGTCTTCAGGATCACTTGAAAATTAAAGGCAGGTGTGTTTGATTAGGGTTGGAGATGAACTGTGCAGGACAGTCGATCGGCAGGAACAGGGTTGGGCACCCCTGGGTTAAAGGGGACATATCATGCTAAATCCATTTTTTTAGCCCTTAAATGCATTTTGTTGTATATTTGGAGTGTTTAGAAGTACAGAAAAGTTTAAATTATTCTCTTCAGGTGCTTCGTTGATATCTTTATATTCTGTTTTGGTCATATTTTTCAACCTGTTCCAATTTTTCTGTTCACTATGACGTTTTTTGAACTATTACGTCACAGTATTTGCAGTGGAACTGCCAAATAAGGACATCGACTTCCGGCCCACCACTTCGAGCACTCCGCCATTTTCATTTCTCGCTGCAATTTTGTAGTCCAAGCTAAAGGATGCAGAACTTGCGAGAGGGTAAGTTAAAATGTTCGGTTGTTGGATGTAGTAACCCACACGCTTCATTACACCATCTAATGTAGATGAACTGCCGTGCTTGTGTTGTGACAGGGCGCATGTTTAACTGAAAGAACCTATGTGAAAGAACGAGCAGAGAGAGAGACCCGGTCGCGCGCGCGCACTCTCTCTCTTCGGAGCCAGGCGAAAGAGTAAACAAGACTTCACCGTCTCCAAACTAGGCGCTGTCTTGCTCTCTCTCCCTCGCACATATTAATCAAAATAAATCGACACGGTGGTAAAAGGTCGGAAGACCAAAGTTTCATGTGTAAATACAGTAACACACCATTGCAATACATCCATATGAAGACGTTGTTCTGCAGGTTCGTCGTCTTCATTTTCATCTCGCTCCGGCTCCGACTCTGGCTAGAACATGTAAGGCTGGCTGGACAAGTCTTCCGTTGTTGACATTTTGTTAATAAAGTGTGAATAAAACGTTTCTGTGCCGCTAGATAATCGTATCTCTGCTATCAAACTACAAAAATGGCCGAACGGGGTGGAGTTGAACCGAGTGTCACCGCTACAACCTGGAGAGGGGGCGGGTATTTAAAGAGACCGCACCAAAACGAGTTGCTCTCAGACGCACATCAGAAAAGGGGTAGAAAAGGGGCCTGTGGAGCTAAAATAATGAGGAATTCAGACCCAAGCATTGCAGTTCCGCTTTATATAGACTACAAATGTATGATTTATATGTAAAAAGGAACGATTAAAAAGCATGATATGTACCCTTTAAGGCTTAATATAATTTAAAAGGATGAATAATGAAAAAAATCACCCCCCTCACAGTTGTCATGAAGGGCAAAATTAGCTATATAGACCAAAACTACTATATTTTTTTCTGTTGTAAAGTTGGGCATTTTAACATGGGGTTCTATGGGATTGACTCTCTTTTGGAGCCTGTCTCTAGCGGCCAGTCCATGAATTGGAGTTTAAGTCACTTCCACATTCGATTCAAGAGAGAGACCGGAAGGTTGCTGCTTGGTCAAGAGTCTAACTAAAGCAAACACTTCCCACAATAATGGTGATTTCAAACTTTATTATTTTCAATAAAACATCAGCATCTTAACCTTTGTTAATTCTCAATAAGAACTTTTGTGTGAAAGAGTCAAACTAGATTGTAAAAAGTGAAGGCTCTTAGATTTTGAGAGATCTGTCCTTGTTTAATGTTCTGCTGGGATTTAAAGGGTTTCTGTTGTCTGAGTTTTGTTGGTAACCATTGTGCACCTTAAAAAATATATAATCAATAAGTTATGACAACATATGCTTTAACATTGCTTTAACTCATCAAAATAAGTTAAGCAATTTCGAACTTTTTTTATAAGTGATACAAGATTCAACTAATGTTTGTTTTTAAGTCAGTTTAAAGTAATTTAAGTTGAAATTACTCAAACATCCAAGTTGATTGTACTTAAAAATTTAAGGCAGCAACTTTTTTTTATAGTATTGAAGACAGTCTGTGCTTCAGCCCAGGATGGGCCAGAAAACATTGACAATATGCTGTATGTTGCTTTATTTAAAGGCAGTAACCGTGTAGACAATGACACAGTGATGTCTATATACAGGTCCTTCTAAAAAAAATTAGCATATTGTGATAAAGTTCATTATTTTCCATAATGTAATGATAAAAATTAAACTTTCATATATTTTAGATTCATTGCACACCAACTGAAATATTTCAGGTCTTTTATTGTTTTAATACTGATGATTTTGGCATACAGCTCATGAAAACCCAAAATTCCTGTCTCAAAAAATTAGCATATCATGAAAAGGGTCTCTAAACGAGCTATTAACCTAATCATCTGAATCAACTAATTAACTCTAAACACCTGCAAAAGATGCCTGAGGCTTTTAAAAACTCCCAGCCTGTTTCATTACTCAAAACCGCAATCATGGGTAAGACTGCCGACCTGACTGCTGTCCAGAAGGCCATCATTGACTCCCTCAAGCAAGAGGGTAAGACAGAAAGAAATTTCTGAACAAATAGGCTGTTCCCAGAGTGCTGTATCAAGGCACCTCAGTTGGAAGTCTGTGGAAAGGAAAAAGTGTGGCAAAAAACGCTGCACAATGAGAAGAGGTGAGCGGACCCTGAGGAAGATTGTGGAGAAGGACCGATTCCAGACCTTGGGGGACCTGCGGAAGCAGTGGACTGAGTCTGGAGTAGAAACATCCAGAGCCACCGTGCACAGGCGTGTGCAGGAAATGGGCTACAGGTGCCGCATTCCCCAGGTCAAGCCACTTTTGAACCAGAAACAGCGGCAGAAGCGCCTGACCTGGGCTACAGAGAAGCAGCACTGGACTGTTGCTCAGTTTTGCATGTCATTCGGAAATCAAGGTGCCAGAGTCTGGAGGAAGACTGGGGAGAAGGAAATGCCAAAATGCCTGAAGTCCAGTGTCAAGTACCCACAGTCAGTGATGGTCTGGGGTGCCATGTCAGCTGCTGGTGTTGGTGCACTGTGTTTTATCAAGGGCAGGGTCAATGCAGCTAGCTATCAGGAGATTTTGGAGCACTTCATGCTTCCATCTGCTGAAAAGCTTTATGGAGATGAAGATTTAATTTTTCAGCACGACCTGGCACCTGCTCACAGTGCCAAAACCACTGGTAAATGGTTTACTGACCATGGTATTACTGTGCTCAATTGGCCTGCCAACTCTCCTGACCTGAACCCCATAGAGAATCTGTGGGATATTGTGAAGAGAAAGTTGAGAGACGCAAGACCCAACACTCTGGATGAGCTTAAGGCCACTATCGAAGCATCCTGGGCCTCCATAACACCTCAGCAGTGCCACAGGCTGATTGCCTCCATGCCACGCCGCATTGAAAGCAGTCATTTCTGCAAAAGGATTCCCGACCAAGTATTGACTATTGAGTGCATAACTGAACATATTTATTTGAAGGTTGAATTTTTTTTTTTTGTATTAAAAACACCTATTTTATTTGGTCGGATGAAATATGCTAATTTTTTGAGACAGGAATTTTGGGTTTTCATGAGCTGTATGCCAAAATCATCAGTATTAAAACAATAAAAGACCTGAAATATTTCAGTTGGTGTGCAATGAATCTAAAATATATGAAAGTTTATTTTTTATCATTACATTATGGAAAATAATGAACTTTATCACAATATACTAATTTTTTGAGAAGGACCTGTACATTAGCATCCATGTGTGCTATTGCTAGCTAAAAGTGAACTGTAAGATATTGCCATTAACAGTGAAAGTGTTTGATCATAATAATTCAGGAAATACTTGTAAAATAGTGTTTTTCTTTAAACTGTTTAATGAAAATTTCAGAAAATTTATTTTGGATATTTTACGGTTGTTGTCCGGCAGTTCGACCATTCTTTACGATTTTACAGTGTAGTTTATCAACAGAGGCCATTTTACATTTGACATTTTTTTTTGATGGAACAACAACAACAACAACAGACTCCTGGAGATGCAATAGATGCCTACGTTGATGAGCACTAGTTTAAACAAGTACAAATACATTTGATCACTTTTAAGTTCTAAAGAGAAACAGCACAGACAGTGGAAAAGGATAACATTTTTAGTGTGCATGTGTGCTGCAGTCAGCCTGTGTTCGTGCATGCTATCAAATGGAGTATACTTTAAAAAGCTATGAGTTCGGCTGTACAGATACGCTAAACATTTGCATAAAATATGATCCATACTTTCTGTATTATGTAAATGAAATAAACTTTGACTAATTAGTAAGCTAAGGAAAACCTAGGATCGGCAGTGAGAGAATGTTTACCCACAGCTGGAACCAGCTTCCAGTGTCACCGGATGAGCCCCAACAATATCCATGTTAAATTCCAGGATGACAACACGTTTACCTGTGCATTCTCTCACTAAAAATAAATCAAATAATGCAGTTCAATGTTCATTATTTTCAGTCAGTTTATGTTGTTTCGTTTACAGTCTTTCCTTTATATTGTGGCAATTCACAGCCAGAAAGAAGTTTAATATTTTGATTCTGAGATATCAATATGGAATGGAGCGACGTCTCAATTAGAGGGTGTCTACCGCAACCACTCAATATTTTAAACTATAGCAAAAGAGATGGTGAGGTGTGGCTGCAAAAAGTTCATATGTACATGACAAAAGAAAATAAAAAGCCTCAAGAGGTGAAGGATGCAGATGATCATGAAAGTGGTTTTGCCCCAGAGATTTGCCCCACATTCTGCTGCGGGGTGAACATTGACTTAATTTCACAGACACGTATTCTCTGGTGCCATTTTAAATTGCTGAGCCATTTAAAACTCTTTCCACACAAGGAACACAAATAGGGTCTCACATCTGCATGGCTTTTCAGGTGTATCTGTAAGTGTGATGGCAAAAGAAACCTTTTATTACACTGTTCACAATTAAATTGCCTTCCTCCAGAGTGAATGAGCATGTGATTTTTGAAATTGCTACTTTTCCCAAATGTCTTACCACACTCAGAACACTGCAATTTCTTTCCGGAATGAGTTTGCAAATGACGTTTCAGGTCTTTTTGATATGTGAAACTCTTTTCACACTCAAGACACATGAAAGGCTTCTCTCCAGTGTGAACTCTTATGTGAGTTTTAAGGTTTCCTTTAAGTGTGAAACTCTTCCCACACTGAGGGCAGGTGAAAGGCTTCTCTCCAGTGTGAACTCTTACGTGAACCTCAAGATTTGCTTTGTTTGTGCAACTCTTTCCACAGTGATGACACATAAAAGGCTTCTCTCCTGTGTGAATTATTACATGATTCTTAAGGTGATTCCTATCTGTAAAATTCATTCCACACTGCTGACATATTAAACAGTTTTCTCTTGAGTGAATCCTCACATGGTAATTAAGGTTTCCTTTACGTGTGAAACTCTTTCCACACTGACCACATGTGAACGGCCTCTCTCCAGTGTGACTTCTCACATGGGCTTTAAGTGTTGCTGTATATGTGAAACTCTTTCCACACTGAGGGCATGTGTAAGGCTTCTCTCCAGTGTGAAGTCTCATGTGAGTCTTAAGGCTTACTTTATGACTGAAACTCTTTTCACAGGAAGGGCATTTGAAAGGCTTCTCTCTGCTGTGAATTCTCATATGAGCCTTAAGATTTTTATTGAATTTGAAACCCCTTCCACACTCTTGGCATTTGAAAGGCTTCTCTCCAGAGTGAATTATCACATGCCTGTTAAGGCATTTCATGTCTGGGAAACTCTTTCCACACTGATGACATATATAACAGTCTTCTCTTGAGTGAATCTTCATGTGGCAAATAAGGTTTCCTTTACGTGTGAAACATTTTCCACACTGAACACATATGAACGGCTTCTCTCCAGTGTGAGTTCTCATGTGAGTCTTAAGATTTCCTTTTAGTGAGAAGCTCTTCCCACACACTTTGCAGGGAAAAGCACTCTGTCCAGTGTGACTTCCCATGTGGGAATCAAGTGATGCTTTATATGTAAAACTCATTCCGCAATGAGGGCATGTGTAAGGCTTCTCTCCCGTGTGAAGTCTCATGTGAGTCTTAAGGCTTACTTTATGACTGAAAATCTTTCCACAATGATGACATATTAAAATGTTCTCTCTTGAGTGAATCCTCATGTGGTAATTAAGGGTTACTTTACGTGTAAAACTCTTTCCACACTGATCACATGTGAACGGCTTCACACCATTGTGAATGTTCATGTGATATCTAAGGTTTGGTTCTGCTGTGAAGCTCTTTCCACACTGTTGGCAGGTGTAAGGCTTTTCTCCAGTGTGAATTCTTAAGTGGCTTTTAAGGTTTCCTTTTTGAGTGAAACGTTTTCCACACTGTTGGCAGCTGAAAGGTTTCTCTCCTGTGTGAACTCTTAAGTGGACTTCAAGGTTTTGTTTTTGATTGAAACTCTTTCCACACTGACAGCAGGTAAAACAACTGTTAGTGTCTGTCTTTTGAGCTCTTTTTCGTGAGGAAGTCTTTTCAGTCTGTGTGGATTTTTCTCCAGTCATGAAATCATAATGTTTCTCATACTGATCTTTTTCTTCCATCAGTTCTTGACTTTCTTCTTTCAGTACCACCAGGGCTAAAGCAAAAAGACAAATGCAAGTTAACACTAGTTCTTGGCACAAAGCAGACATCAAAATCAACACAAAATGCATTAAAGCATCAAAACAAACATCAATGCCTATAGAAAAAGCTACTGAAAGAAGTGTTTCTTTTAATCTCAGAACCTCAACAACTTTCACAACAAATTGCCATGTCTTCCATGTCAGGGACTGGCCCTCTGATTGAGAGAGAAGATTATCCAATGCAACCAGGAACCAGATGTACAAGGACAGTAAACCAATAGGTGTGTTGACTTCAGCTGGATTTTTACCAATCTGTGAGATTTTGCCGCAGTCGGGGACGGAGTCTGAAACTTTCTGCTTACTGTTCCTCTCATCAGTAAATCCAGCCAAGCGTAAACCTGCAGTGTCATCAGCTTATGGTACTTTGACGGTATACGGCACAGTGATGTGGCATCGGACAAAACTTCTAACCGCCATGCAGTATTGGAAGTTAGACACTGATTGTTCAGTTGTGGCAAACATCCATTTTGGCAATGCTGAAGGCAGTGCTCTCACGCAGTGGTTCCCAACTCTGATCCTGGAGTAAACCCAAAACTGCACATTTTGGATGTCTCTCTTACCTGATACACCCATCTGAGGTATGTCTGAAATCAAATACTTCCTAACTATATAGTATACAAAAAAAAGTACGCCAACAGAGTATTATGTCCGAATACATAGTATTCGAAAACAATAGACGAAAAGTACCTGGATGACCTACTACTTCCACCGAGATTCTAGAGTGTGCATTCAATGGACACTTTACTATTCAAGGCCACGAGAGGGTATTCGAGAATGGTGGTGGACGCGATGCAACTGACGGCGTAGGACACAATAAAAAAGATAACATTGTGGATGTAGTGTGTTCAAATTTCACTAATTTAAAAACACACACATTGATACTATATAAAACTAGGGATGGACATTTTTGTCAATTTCTTATTTCGATCATTGATAGGTCTCAAAAAACGAGTACTCGATTACTCGGGGGGTGGGGCTTGTTCGGGGGCGGGGCTTTTTCGGGGGAGGTGGTGGGGCGTGTCCATCATGGAGACAATGATATCATTTGAATATTTTAGAAATATTTTGGATTACATTAGCATTTTCTGATAGAAATTTTTTTTATTTTTACAGTATATTGGCCAAAATTACACTTAAGTCAGAGTAAAACTTCTATTCTTCTCGTGACTGCGCGATGGGACGTTATAGTGGGGCTCAACATAATTCATCAAATCTTTAAACCCTTCTCCTTCGATGAAACGAATGGGCAGCAAATCTTTCGCTATCATTTTGGTGATTAGTTGTGTCATCTTTTCACCTCTGGCTGCGGTGCATTTCTGTCTGACGGTAAAAGATGCAATGCTCGTCTGAGTTGCGTCATTGGTGGTATCGGAAGACATTTTATGTACAAATACTAAGTGATAACACATTGTACTTGTGGTAGATTTGTGTGACAGCTTGGCGCAGCACATTTTGCACTGAACTGTTTTTTCGTCTATTTTGTCGAAGTGAAGCCAGACATCACTACGTGACTTTGAAGCCATTTTCTCTGTTTTTCAGTTTGGACTTTGGACCGCGCTCTGGTAACGCTAACCAATCAGAGCTCAATGTCCCACCCAAAATGCTGTTATAACCAATCAGAATTTTTTTTTTTTTTAACTCAGATCATCGTTTCTATGATCGATCGTCGCTGTCACGTTCGAGTACTCGAGTGATCGAGTACTGTGCCCATCCCTATATAAAACATTATTTTATTTTTTACCAATGTTCAAACTAATGGATGACTTTAGTCACTTTAATGGGTTAGTTCACCCCAAAATGAAAATTCTGTCAGTAATTACTCACCCTCATGTTGTTCCAACCCTGTAAGACTTTCGTTCATCTTCGGAACACAAATTAAAATTACTAAATTAATTTGTGCCAAGTTTTATAAAATAGTTTTCATAGACATAATAATATTGTTTAGGGCAAGTTATTTATTTTCTATTGGCTCAAGTTATAAAATATAGATGTGGATCATTCCCCTAAAATTTTTTAATTGGATGAATGAACATTTTTTTTCAGTGTAGGTGTCTATTCAAACACGCATACCTATAGACTAAACACGTAATACGCATGTGCACGCCATCAGCCATTTGCGTTATTGAAGTTTACACGTTTTTCAAAAAATTTCAACGCTTGCTTCATTCTTCTTCCTCCAGACATACCGCTGATCCATAGGGCCGAAAAGTGCGGTTTCATCGCTCCAAAGAACAGAATCCCAAAACTTCTGTGGCTTATATGATTTTGAGCAAATTGTAGCCGACCTTTTTTGTGCTTTTGGGTCAGTAGTGGTATGCGTCTTGGATTTCTGGCATGCGTTTAGTACGCGCCTTACTGTGCAACTGAAACCTCAGTGCCTCTTGCCACCATGTCTTGCTGCAGGTCTTTTGCAGTCATTAATGGGTAGGGTTGGGTATCGGTTGGGTTTTATCCGATACCACTACCTACTCTGTATTTTTTAAACGGTTCCGGTGCTTAAACGGTTCTTGAAACGGTACTTAACCCTCAGAGCCCGACGGCATCGTCCACGACGTCACACGGCACCTCCGATAAATATTTATATAATTTGATGAAAGTTTTATCGATTTTCTTACCGTTTTTTCCAGCAGAAAGCTAACGAGCTAGCCATCACAGGGGGTGTCTCTGGTGTCTTTCTAGCCTTTACAGAAGGTTTTCTATCCAGCCTGAAACTTGTGCATCCTTTCGGAGTTTTTCAGCAATAAATCCAAACGCTTATATCCAAGTATGAGCCTCTTGATGTCCATAATTTATAAATATTCCGTCATTTTTGCCGCTAGCTCGATGCAAGCTGCCATTTTGGATATCACGTGATGTTTTCACGTGATGGTTGTTGACCAATTACAGGCTGATCCGTCGTAAACATTGTTGTGCGTCACGAATGCACGAACCAAGCTCTGATATTATTGTGGAGAGAGAGACGCACAAAGAGACGCGCGTTTCACAGAGAAACACAAAGAAAAATGGATGTAAATCAGCGCTGGCCTTTTTTGATGCCATGCAGGATGATGGATTTTCAGGAGAACAGAGCTTTTTGACCGATGAGGAACTAGATTAGTGATGTGGCCCTCTTTGTGATTGCTGATAGGAACTGTTTTGGCTTGGCACCAGTGAATTTCATGAGGCCCAAAACGCCTGGAATTCTTTTGGAAAAATGTAAATAGCTTTGGTTCTGTACAAGTTATAATGTTTATTCCTGTGCTCCAGGACTCCAAAGACATGAACAAACTGTTTTCCAGAGGAAATTTGCTTAGCTTTTATTTATTTGTGTGTGATTTCAAAAAATATTTGAGTGATTCAATTTCCGATTTATTTTTTCATTTGTCTTTGTGGTCCCATAACTTATTTTACATTCAGGTGACATTAATGCAACACAAATATGCTGAAAGTTCAATTTGTCCTGAAAAAAAAGAGGTGTATCAATTGTCTGTGCACAAAAGGGTTGATGTTTTACAAGCTTTTTTAGTGAATAACACCAGACGGAAAATTTATTGTAAAAATACCCTTAGGTCTCTGAGGGTTAAGAAAACGAAACCGCACACACTTTGTCAAAAAATAATACCCTTTAATTTACAGGGCCAAACTGGACACAATATTTACTTATATCTTTAAACAATAAATACAAGTAAAATATGGTAATAATAAATAAACCAATATAAAATAAAAATTCACATTTAAATAATATCAAATAAAACAATATTGTATCGAACAATGTAATAATACTGGAGATTAATAGAGATTACTACCAGGGTCATTGTACTAGTTACGCAGCGCTTAGCTTGGCGAGTTTGGTATTTCGTTCCCACTGCGTCTTAGCTACGCAGCTTTGAGTAAACCTATGAAAGAGAACGTCTCTGGTTACTGGTGTAACCCATGTTCTCTGAATAGGGAACGAGACGCTGGGTTCGCTGTCAAACTCCTCGCGCTGCCGACAAGCTTCCTTTTTCGGCAGAGAAATCTGAGGAGCAGATGATGCGCGCGCTAATAAAATATGACGACGTAAGAGCGTCAAGGCGCGCCCGATCCATCAGCCAATGGATTGACGTGATTCTATATGGGCTTCAGACAATCGGTACACCTAGAGGGCGTTCTGACGCGTAATTTTACATGTGAAATGCAGCCAAACCTTGGAGCGTTTTGTCTTCGGCATCTTCATTAATCCCCTCGCTATAAGCAGACATTCCGGGAGTCTCCCGCATATTGATAACGGCTCCCTGATGCCCGCATATTAGTTAAAATCTCCCGGAATCTAGAGCGAGCGAGCAAGAGCACGCTTGTGAGACAGAACAGACTGTGCTCCAAACCGTATAGTGCGCGCACGGCAGAGAGGGAGAGAGCGAGAGACTTTGCGTGTGTGCGCCTCATGACACAGAGACTCAGGCACCGAAATTTTCGTTCTTATTCAGTCTGGTTACTACCGTTTAAGTCGGAACCGGTTCCCTATTGGCACCGCGTTTCGGTACCCAACCCTATTAATGGGTTTTTCTGATCTATCAGAAATCTTGTTGCAGTCGTTGATAGCTGCCTTTTTCTGCCCCATCCAGGTAGTGTCACCACTGTTACTTAAACTGTGAACATGCAAACTATGCTTCCAACGGTGTCTCTAGGAACATTTAGTGCCTTCGCTATCTTTTTGTATCCTGTTCCTTGTTTGTGAAGGGCGATGATATCTTTTTTTTGACCATCTTTTCGGACCATTCTTTTGACCATATTTCTAACATACAGTCAAACGTGACACTCAAAAAACCTAGCCTAGCCTATTCCATGTGTTCTAGCTCAAGCACACCTGGTGCAACTAATGAAGCCTTTGATTAGTTGCATTAGGTGTGCTTGAGACAACACCTTTTTCCAGATTTGTGCTGTTGTGAGCGATTCTATTCAGGGGTTTAGTAATTTTGAGACGGCAGAAGTCATTAAAAGTTGCATTTTCAGTTGAATTTGGGAAAACCACTTGAAATATTTGTTGTATTGAGCTATTTCAATTACTTTTTTGATTTGTTAATTGAAACAGCTGAAAGTCTGCAAATTTTGCCAATAAACCTGATTTGCAATGGGGGTTGAATAATTTTGATTACAACTGTAAGTCAAGTACACTTAAGTGCAATTTCAAATATATTTCTGAGAAGTATATAAAAAGTAGACAAAGTATCTTTATTCTAAAAGAAGTAGATTTATAGCACACTTGAAAAAAAAAAACAATTGTAAGGGAAGGTGAAAGATGACGTTCAAAAATAACTGTAAATCCATCTGACCATAAATCTGATTGACACCCGATGACCTGTTAGTCTGGGTGACATTGAGTTATAATTCTGTACATAAACAGTTATAAACCGCTGCAGACCAGTCAATAAACTGCAGAAAGTCATAAACAAAAAAAATTCTCAAGATCAATTTTTGAAGGGGACACTAATACAGCCAAAATTGTACTTCTAGCTTACACAAAGAGATAGTTGTTTAAATATGAGTTAGGTTCATAGGTTCACCACGCGGTCATATTATAATTATTAAATTATCTTGTGTTCTCAACATAGAATTTAAGGTTTCTTCTGGGACAGACAAGCCCACTGATCTGCCACTTAACATCATATTGAGCAAGTCCCAACACAACAGTAGGTCTACTATATAGGCCTAATATCAGTTCATACATAGGCTTATAGCTGTGTTAGTTGTAGTGGATGACTTACTATCCAGCAAGCTACTGTATTAAACAAGCTAGGTAACATTATAATCGTTAACATTGCGGACTCATGGAAAAATAGATTGGAGATCATATATTTTTTTTATGACTAATTTATAAATGACACAGCATCATCTGTATTAAAGAGAAAAGAATCACCTCATCCACTGATTAAAGTGAATAAGATAGCCTTGACAGCCGACATACTGGAGTTCCACAACTACTGAAGAACTTATTCTCTCATAATGTTTCTGAACTTAAATCGTTTGTATTGTTTCACTGCGTACACAATTATTTTAAGTATATATCATTATATTATTTACAATACACAGCGTGGTTTTAAATTATATTTTTAGGGGGGGGGGGGGGGGGGGGGGGGGGGGGGGGACAACCCTCAGATGTTAATGTTAGTATGATAATATTTTGTTTGTAAACTAAGTGTTTTTGACCCTCTTTATTTTTTATGAGGTTATAAATATTGTTATGGTAGCCTCAATGCGCATTGCACAAATGGTGAATACAGCATTCATTGCATTTCTTGCCAAAAAGTTTGTCTGGTCATGTGATCTCAACATGTCCACATGAGGCGACCCACTTCTTGACAAATAAAACCACTTTAATTAGTTCAGGTTTGAGAATAAAACCAACCTGTTTGTTCCTCAGTATCTTCCTTTTTCACTCTGAATGTTTCTTCAATCTTCATGTCTTCACTCTCCTCTTTAATAAACGCCATCTTTATAATAGTATGTCACATGGATCTCAGTTGCTCCACCAGGAGTTTTTCTATGTGTGGACACTCTGTCACGTTTAAAATGAGAATAATTATCAGAAAGAAAAATAAATCCAAACTAAATATATTGGTGCATCTCAATCAGCTCCCTAGTTCAGTAGTCAGGGCACTGGCAAGAAAGAGTCTGAGATTATCCAAGCCCTGTCAAAAAAACTCTGAAAACTAGCACTTCAAATTAATAAAAGACAACAAATTATACACACAATTCATTTTTATTTAAATTGGTATTTAATGATTTGTAGACACATTTATAATATTACATTTTCATGAAAACATTTGCTATTTCATTGTAATCACACATTGTAAAAGTTTCTTTCACACCATTTTGAGTAGCAGGTGTCATCCAGTGTGTTGCGTTTCGATCAAAGTAATTGATTCAATTGAAAAAACTCTGGCAGTTTAACTGGTGTCCATGAGAAGTTGTAACTTCAACTGCAGATGAAAACGATTGGTCACATATTCATCAATTCCAGAAAACCTGTGCAATATGTCAATTACAGTTCAGCTGATAAATCTATCAAAAGATGCTGATGATTCCTCAACACTAGGGGTGGGCGATATGAGCAAAAAATCATATCACAATATTTTTCACTGTTTCACTGTTTCACGCTAAAGATATTATATCGCGATATGAGAAAAAAAATTGGAATCACATTTTAGTACACCTTGGTTAAATTACAGGCAAGATATGTATTTTAACACTAGATAACTAGAAAAAGGTGAGGCATTTCATTGGACATAGACCTGAAATGTGTTTGTTTTTTTGGCATTTTTTTTCTCAAAAAGTGCAAACGTGCAACATGAGGTAGGCCTGAATGCACTTGTTATGTCTTTCCACTTTTTGCTCATCTTGTCATAATGAGAACCGGCAGCGAATGAAGACTTTATTGATTTCTGAGTGAGAGCCGTCTTTGGGTGTGCTCTGTCTCCGGGAAAATCTGTTGTTTTGCTTTTTTAAATTAGTTTTTATTTTAATATCGTTTTCAATTTTGCTTTAAATTTCAGTTTAGTTTTAGCTAGTTTCATTAATAGTTTTGTTAGTTTTTATTTTGCAAACACATTTCTATATAGTTTTTATTTTTATATATAAGTGTTATATAGCAGAACACTTCCAGTGTAGACCAAAGCGAGACGTTTAATTTAAGTTTAATGTTTGCACAGATTACAGTTAACTCTTGTGCAGACATCTTAATAATAAAAATAAAATAATGGTTTGAGATTGAACAAAGCACCAAATAAATAGAACTTAAAAGTATACAAGAAAAAAACAATGAAAATGTTCATACAAACTAATTCATTAGTGTAAGGAGACAGAATAAAGGCCTACAGTTTGTACAGTATAAAACCCATTACGTCTATGGAGAGTCCCCACAAAGATAGTGGAGCAGTGTGTGTGTATGCGCGCGCTTATGTGTGTGTCGTGTGTATGCGCACGCTTATGTGTGTGAATTGTCCTGTTATTCATAGCCTAACGTTACATTGCGGGGAAATGTCTCCACGTGGATAATATTATTAGCAGTAAATGTTTTGTAAAAACAAAGATAATAATAGCAGCTTTCAGCCTTTCAACCTTCATGAAAACATGACATCTCAAACATACAGTAGCCTAGCCTAGAACTTTAACGTTTGTTTGTGCTTGACGAACTTGTTTTGGTGTTGCACCCGCGTCTCGCAAATGAAACGGCATTCTAAAAATGCTGCGCTCCAGTTAAAAGTCAAACTTGCGTCTCATTACCTTGTTATTTCCCATTCCACTGCAAAAGATGCATCCTTTATGAACAGCCGCTTAGCACTAGCGATGTGTTCTACGTTACGGTCCTTCATTGAACGCGTCACAGGACAGCGGTTAATCGCCGCAGCAACTTCACGCGTATGAAGCGCCAAATCAGCCATCAGCTTATTCGATTCTGTATCGTCATTAGTGTTAACAGTTGTAAAGAGTACCAAATTGAACAAAACAATATAACTGCAAAATTTGAATTTATGAATACGGTATCCTCGGTATCGCAAAATCCATATCATGGCACAACATAACATAATACCGGTATTCACGTTCATACCGGTATAGCGCCCACCTCTACTCAACACAACACCATCTGTTGTTTCAATATTATAGGACCTTGGTTGCATTTGAAGTAATTTATCTTTGTATCTGACCTCTTCACCAGCACGAACCTCAGGAAAACTATAAGGTTCCTTTATCGTAATGGAGAGTTTGCTTAGCCCTTTGTTCTTCTTTGTACTTTTTAACTTATAAGACTTTTAAACTATTAAGAGAAGGGTATAGATGGGAAGAAAAAAAGCTTTTTTTAAATACTTTTCAATTCTTAAATGGCCTTCATGTTTTTTTCCCCATCATCTCATCACTCATACTTTTTTGGAATCAGTTTTATTTCCTTTGTGTACAACTTCAACACACAGATTTGCAGTTCCTAAATTCGTAACATTTGCAACACAATTTTGCTTTACCACGGATCAACCATTCATAATAGAATGTTACACCTGTGTAAGCATTTGATCTTGTTTTGTCTCTTTGCGGATCATTTTCATCTTGGCATCAGCAAAAGGCAAGCCTTCTACAACCATGTCCAACATGCTTGGATATCTTCTGTCAACCTTTCACAAGAGAATGCAGTTCGATCAACTGCTCTGGACAAGGAACTGCCATACAAATCAAATAGCCTGGTGTATAAAACACAGTTAGTTCATAACATTGCAATTAGGGATGCTCATAATTAACTGGTAAACTGTTAACCAACAGTAAGAATTTTAAACGATTAATACTATCGCTTAAATGGCTTGAAAAAGTAAATTTTCAAAAACATTTGCAGCGTGGTTAAAAAAAATACATTACACATATGAAATTGAGTTTTTAAGAGAAAAAATAAAACAAATAAGCTGTGTATAAGTTGCATTTCTTTAAATATGTCAGTGCCATTGTTTTGTCTCAAGATGCACATTAGTAGTGTTTTTTTTGTTCTAGGACACGTTTATAAAAGCTACTTTAATATCCTAATTGAACACAAGGCCTACTCCTGGCTTAATCTAAGCCTTGTCTGTGAAACTAGGCTTAAAAACACTATAAACATAGCTATTTAGGGCTGCACGATTAATCGCAATTTCCATGTAATCGCACTTTGTCCAACAAAAGACAACATTTGATAACATGCTTTGATAACATGTCGCGTGTTTATTAGTCATGTTAAATCAATCAAAGCGTTTCAATCTTCTGTTTATTCAGCTACAGCGATAGGGATTTCCTGGAATGATGCTTGGGGCATATTTGGCGTGTCTGCTTGAGAGCGCCCTCTGGTGATCAGATGGGGCAGCATTTACTATCGATCAGCCGCACTGCACTGACAAGCCGCGCATAAAATAATCGCAACCTTTGTCAAATCGTGTGCGGTTTCATTGCGATTAATTGTGCAGCCCTAATAGCTAGGCTATAGGTTATTTTAGTTCTCCTCACTCCAAAACAAATCCTTTCAGTTTAACGGTATTCAGAACAGAACAAGAATGAATAAATAAAAGTAGCTATATAAACGCCAAGCCAAAACGTTCATTTAAAGCGAACTGGCATGTTTTTTTTTTATCTCATGTTGCTATTTGAAAACTAAAGCCCTGGAAAACAAATTTTTAATGGGTCACAGACAGGGTTCTAAATTAACACCCGCCAACCCGCCAAATGCGGGTTAAAATTCATTTTGGCGGGTGTTAATAAAAACTTACTAGCCAGTTTGGCCGGTGATGCATAAGGTTCTGTTCTCGGTCATTTATCCCCCTGGCAGTACTTCCTACATTTCCCATAAACACTGTGCCGTAATGCTACGTGATGACGTTTCATACGCCCATTGGCTGCATTTTGCAGTGAAACCAGCGCGAGAAATGATCATGGAAACAAACGGAGCATACGCGTCCGTCCACCAGAAAACACAAGAAAGATGAAGAACGAGCCAGAGCAGGGAGCAGACTGAAAGAGGAGGGAGCTAGTAAAGTAGCTAAAGTAAAAAGTTAAGATTAAACTAAATGCGGCGGTGGTTGGGACAGACTTCTGGGTTTAAATTTAAATGTCGTTTAACGAGAGATAGCCTACGTTATTTTTTTTAAGTTTAAGGTTTTTGTCATTATTTCTTACAAGCTTATACATTAGGCAATAGCCTATACACAACAAGCTTACTATATATCTTAAGGTTTTCTTTTAGTTAAAAACATTAAACAATATGTGTAAACAAAATAAATATACAACAAAAGCATTTAAGCTCAGGCAGCGCAAACGAAAAAAAAAAAAAAAAGAAAAAAAAAAAAAGAAGCAGACTGCGCAGTTATCGTACAGAACGTAGTCAGCATACTCGAGTCAGCATATGATTATCGTGTTTATATTGTTTCACGTTCATGTTGAGAAAAACAATAATATCCACATATGCTCGAGTGAGAAAACGCGCTGCGCTGACACACAGGCGTTGCAGAGACGCGCGCGCGCGTGTGTGTGTGCAAAGTGAAGTAACAGCACTTTGCGTTTTCTGTTTTTAAACCTGTCTCCCTCAACGAAACTTAAAGGAAGCATATGTCAAAATCATTTTGCTACCAGAAGATATCGGGGTACATCTGCTGACCTGCAGTCGTTAATGCAGTGATGGACAGCTGCTTCCTCAGTCGACTGCTGTTTCTTTGGATTTCATGTGATTTCTCATTGTGGTGGTGATATTATGATAATAATAATAATTAATAATTGATTAAACGTAATTCCATTTTGTAATAGGCTATCATTTTCATCTAAGTAATTCCAAACTTCGCGAGGCAGACAACGACATTATGTGATCAAAAACACAATCCACTTGTTAAATGCTCCACCCAGTGCATTTAATTATAACTGCGGAAAAAAATTGAAGAAAAAAAGTATTAGTATTTTATTGTTAAATTGTTAAACTACATAAATGCCATTATCTGTACCGTATCCCAACTTGTGATCGTTACAATACCGTTACAATAAAACATCAATTGAGCAA